CTGGAGTGCTGCCATTATACCTAAGGACTCCAAGTTTAAAAAATGATCGTTCCTCAAACCTAAAAGTCTTAATTTTTTTCCTATTAGTAGTCCATAAACTTATTTATATTTTTAGAGCTCCTGAATACAAAAAACTAGGATAAAGTAATCTTTTTGTGACTTTTGAATCTGGAGTCCTTTTTGGGATTCTGGATTCTTGTTAGCAATGCTGTTGAAGATTTTTTAAAAGCCTCTTAGCCCAACTTCTGAGATAAGATACAAAATTTAGTGATTTAATAATAGCACTTTTTTACATCGATTTCTTGCGATAATAAATAGCCGTTTGTTTTCAAGAGAGTTGTTTTTTTGAAAAAGAATAAAAAAATGATAATATTTAGATATAGAAGCTGCACAAGAAGGTGTAAACTAAGTAGTAAAATGACGCTTGAATTGGAAGCATTGAGAAAGAATAAAAGCTTGCATTCCTGTCTGAATCCAGAAAGGTTATTTAGGAAGTGCATTTATCAGCTGAGAGAAATAAACAAAAATAAACACAAAAAAAAATCCCAATCAGCTTTAGAGTCGTAGTAAGTAGTGTGAAGAAAAAATTTGAAAAGAAGTACAAGATGAAAGGTGAGACCATTTTGTGGTCAGAACTACCTGAAACAAGAACACAAGCTAGGATCAGAGATAAGACATAAATCAAGAAGTGAAGATATATAATTAGGGTTGCCAGAAAAACAAGTCACAAAGTTAACTATCTGAGTAAGAGATTGAGAAATGCAAAAGTTATAGGACTTAGTGCCAGCAGGGTTAGTGATGTTAGAGTCAAACCATTCATTCCAACCCAGTGATATTAGAGCCAAGCCAAATAAAATACTTGTTTTTATTTTATTTTAAACCGTTTTTATTTTATTTGAAATAGGAAATAAAACTAAGTTTTAAAATTTTGAGGTTGGCAAAAAATTGTCAACCTCAAACTCTTTAAGGTTGACCCTAATTCTGAGTGTTGATATACAAGCTTTGGCATAAGAGGTGTGCGGTCACACACCTTATATGACCACGCATTTAATACTTTCTTTTGACATCTTGGCCACGGCTTTTTGCAAGTTTTGACAATCAGGGCTTTTAAAAAATCTTTAATTTATTTGATTCCATAATTACAATTAAACTGCTACAAAAATTTCCTGAGTATTTAATTGCAACGCGATAAAAGGCAACCATTGAAAAAAATATTCAGATAAAAGTTTTAAGCAAAATGAGTACAGAAGCTATTAAAAGATAAATACAAACTGCTTTATCATGGAAATATAATTTCTAATAAAAAAATTATTTATTAAAAAAAAGAATTACAATAATCTTGAAACAATTGCATCTGCCAACAATTTTTTAACTATTCCAGGGCGTGACACTTTTTTATTTTTTTTAAATGAAGATTGACTTGTGTATCTTTATTTGTTGACGAAAGTCTAATTTAAGACATTTATGCCAAATAAGGGAATTTTATTTTCAAATAATTTTTATTCTAGTTAATAAGTTATTAAATACATTAAAGATGCTTGGTAAATTTATTTAATTTTTATTTTTCAAAAACTTATTTTTACACATATGCAAAGTGCGCGCAAATTAAGGTAAATGCACAATAAAAAAACTTTTTTTAAGTGTTTTTAATATGCAAACAAACATTACTTCACTTTAAGGAAAATAAGAAAATTAAAAAAAAACAACATGTAAAATGTTATTTATAATGAATTCATTTGCTTTAAACTTTCAATGTAATTGCTAATTTCATAAAAGAAACCATGCTTAAAATTTATGATCGCTTTCTTCAATAAAAGAAAGCAATCGAAATGTTTAAGCACGGTTTCTTTTGAAGTTTTTGCAAAAGCATTAATTTTAAGTAAATTCTGCATGCTTTTGCAAGCGCATGCAAAGACCACGCTAAAACATAATTACTTTCTTCTATAGTGCACTTAGCTATTTTACTTAAAAGTAACGCTATTTAAAAAAGTAATTATGTTTGGGCATTCTGAAATAAATTGTTTTTTTATTATAAATACAAGTTTTTTATAATTAATAAAATCAATCGCAAAATTATTTTGAAAATAAATTGCTGAAGTAATGCATTCTTTTTGAAAATTCTTGATCAAATATCAACGTTTGCATAAGCAAAATTAAAGAAACGTGTTGTTTTTTTTTTCTTTCCGTCTTTTAACAAATGCTTTGTCAACAAACAAATGTTTTGTCAATTTGTGGACAAACAATAGACAAACAAATAATCGACAAACAAATGTTTGTCAATTTGTCGCATCAATTTTAAACATCAATTTCTAAAAAAATAAATAAAAAATCTGAGGGGGGTAGGGGGAAGACGCCCACTATGGATCCACCCTTGTATTTATTAGCGTATTTATTTATGGGAGGAAAAGGTACAGATTGATAGAGTTATAATAATTTTTTTTTTTTTTACTTTTGCTTACAATAAAGTTTACATTAATAAATGTGTTGATTTTTTTCCTGGTTTTTCCTCTATTTATTTTATCATTCTTTAAAACTTTTATTTTTTTAGGGTAATTTTTGTATTATATATATTTTTAAGGATTTTATTCTCTTTTCAGTTTATGGATTGTTTATTTTAATTTTAACTTGCTTTGTTTTTTAGTGCATTTTTTAAATGTGCTAAATATCAAAACTTGCAAAGAGCAGTGGTCAAGATGTATATATCTTATAATGCTGATTTACGTGGGAGGTGACGTCATACTGAAATAGCCTGCTACCGGGGGCTTCAGTACATACATTGACTGACAAATAGCCTGACTCGCAGTGGAGTGCTGCTATATAGCCTAAGGGTTTTGGGATGGGTCAGCAACCTTTTCATTCATTATTCTTCATTTTCCTTCTTCATTTTCTAAAAATCTTATATCGATTTAGATGAGCAAAAAAAGTGAGCAAGTGCGCATATAAATATGCTATAGTAGATATAGTTATATACATATATATATATATATATATATATATATATATATATATATATATATATATATATATATATATATATATATATATATATATATATATATATATAAATGTAGTTATATATATATATATATATATATATATATATATATATATATATATATATATATATATATATATATATATATATATATATATATAAGGGCATGTTTTGGGGATGTCTGCAACATCATTGGATGAACCCATACAAAAAAATGAAAAAAATTTTTGTCTTGAATATATATCAAAAATAAAGCAACAATTAGACAAACTGTGCATGGTTATATCAATATATCAATTGACATCCTGAATTTTATTTTATAAGACTATGTATCTTATTAATAACTCACATTTTGAACAAAATTGTGAGTTATTAATAGAAGATATGTTTACAATATAATAAAATAAATTCAGACTTCTCTTCATACATACATACTGCAGGTAATTGCATTAAATTGCTTCATTTTTGTGTCAAAGCTTGCGATAAAACTTTAAATCCATTTTTATGATAATAAACTCTTATCAATCATCAAAAAAATGTTTCTCAAAATCAAATAAAATGTATCGTATCAATGCGTCAATTTTAACGTATAAAATGTATCAAATACAACACAAAATGAGCTGATAAAGTGTTGTGGGGAAGTAATTACTGACACTATAATAGAAAAATCAAAAGGTATAAATATTTTTCTATTATCGCTGATGAAACCTCAGACAATTCAAATAAAGAACAACTTTCTTTGGTAATTAGATTTGTTAATTCCAATTTTATCAAATTTTTTCAGAGTTTATCAAGTTGATACATTGTACAAACTGTTCAACTGGTGAGGGTTTATTTAGTATTTTACAAAAACATATTTATGATCTTTCTTTGGATATTATGAATTGTAGAGGACAATCTTATGATGGCGCTGGAGCAATAGCTGGACACACTAAAGGGTAGTCTTTTGAATTCTGGTGCTGTTTTTTGGTTGAATGCTGATTTGTTTTGTGAAGTTCATTTTCAAGTTAAAGAGGTTTTTTGACAATATTCTTTGAACCACGCACTTCTTGAATAAATTCCAAGTCATCTGAATACATTGAAATTAGGCTAGACACCTTTTTTTTGTTTTTGTCATTCTTTTGAAGTCAGACATCAAAAGCATATTAAATTTTATTTTCTTTAACATTGGATACACTATCTGGATTGGAATAAGATCTGTACAAACTTCCAGTTTGTATCAAAGTTTTTGTTGCTTTTAGTGTATAAAATCAAAGTTTTTGATATTATACACTAACTGATTGTCACTTGCTGATAATCAGTTAATGTATAAAATATTTTTTAAGAATTAAAAAAAAAAAGTACTTTAGTAGTAGCACTGCAATTTGTACATTTTCCCGTACATTTTCAAATTTTCAAACTACTAAAAATACAATAACATTATCAGTTACAACATTGTACATGTTGTAAAGTGAAAGCTCATTTTTGCTATTGAAATATTTGAAAAATTTTGACTTATTTTTACTATGAAACTTAAGTACACAAATCAGATTGCACAGATTGCAATCCAAGTATAATTATTTATATTTAGATTGCAATCTTTGCAAAAGTATATTATAAGTATAAATATTTAGTGAAACTTCAATGAATTTGAATAAAAGAAAACTTGGTACTTAATTGTTTTTTTTTTAATGTGCAATTGTTTTTTCATAAAAAAAAAACAATGACCTATGAAAAAACATTTGGTAAAGCATCATAGAAAAAAAAAATCGCATTAAAAATTTACTTCAAGCATTTATAAAGAACAAACTATCGTAATGCATCCAATTTTAGCTTCATATAAAATCTTTTTTTCAATTACATTAAATTGGTTAAAGCAATTGAAATAATAACAATTAATAAAAAATTATAAATTATCATTTATGGAACATAATAGGATATCAAGTAAGAAACGCAAATAAACAAAGTTTTATAATCCAATAAATTAATGTCTATTAAGAAAATATCATATTGTATAAATTGGAACCTGTTAGAAGAAGCTTTCGACGAGACATTTCGGCTGTAACTTTTTCGAAATGTGCGTTGTCTGAGGCAAGTGTTACAACCATTTTGCTAAAACTTGTTGCGCTTTTTTAGTTACGCTTCGGTCGCTTTACCCGTTTCTATAAATAAATCAGATTTTACTGTTACGACCTAAATTTCACTCACTCACGAATTTGCCTTGTTTGTGACCAAATCACTTTACAATTCAATTCAATCAATTGTCTTTGACAGAAGCCTAGCCTCATCGATGAGAGGTCGACATCAAAAGTATACCAACTATCGCAATAGTAATTAAAAAGAGCAATATGATTCAACAACTTTTGAGATATATGAGGGTTTCGAAGTGGAGGGGCACAACCATCAATTTCTTAAAAAAATCCTCTATATCAAGAATTTCCTTGAGAAAAAAATAAAAAAAGTCCTTTAGAATAAAAAAAAAGGGGGGCAGTGCCCCTGCCTCCCTCCTTGTATCGTCGGCTTTGGCCAAACAAGGAAAAAAAAATGTTGCTCACATGTCCAGGATGTGAAGGGAATATTCAACAAAATTTTTACAAGTTTTTGCAAACCTAGGAATCAAAAGAGAGAGAACACCATCGTGGCACGCTTAAAGTTATACAAAATAATTTAGTTGAATATTCTTGAATTTGGCATGATCCAATAAATGTATCGCAATGCAGTTTTAGTCTTATTCTTATCTTGAATTCTTTAATAACACGTCGAATGCAGATTGCAGATCAAAAAAAAAAAATTTTTTCTATATTTTAGATATTGTACTTTTAGGCATTGTGCAAGCTCCAAACTAAAATTTCTATAAACATCAAAACAGCTGTAGAAATTTTTTGCCCATATGTCACGATAGAGATGCTTATGTTATCAATGTGCATACGTAATTATTAAGTTTGCGCGTTTAACATTAAAGAGACAACTTTTTTCTTATAGGAATAAAAATTTTACTTGCAAACTTTTCTTTAAAATTATTATTTTCTTTAAAATTAATTAACGGGGCGAGGGTCTTAATAAGCTTCCAATTGTCTAGAAAAAAATTTAATTAAAACTTAACAGAAACTTAATAAAAAAAAGTTAAAAATCAGTAACTGTTATTTTGTGTAAAAGTTTACAGTTTTACATAAAAAAGTTATGAGGTACTGAACATTAATCGTTAACTCAAAACAAAACTTGACAAAATTTTATTTTATGCCATTTTTGAAATAAAACGACTATATAAACTATAAGTATAGAAATTGTCGGTTTGGAAACAATAAGTATAGAAATTGTCGGTTTGGAAACAATAAGTATAGAAATTGTCGGTTTGGAAATAATAAGTATAGAAATTGTCGGTTTGGAAACAATAAGTATAGAAATTGTCGGTTTGGACTTTCATGGCCTGTATTATGATGGTAAGTTCATGATTCTACAAATTTAACAGTCGAATTCAAAACCTTCCTATAACTTTTTTTAACTTTAAAAAGTAGGCAATATGTATAGTTTTCCTACCGCTAACTAAAAAATATTGAAGTTAGTAATAAATATAGAAATGGTCGGTGTAGTATTCTACACCGAGACATATATATAATAGACATATATATAATAGACTTACGAAAACCCGTATTTTACTAGTGGGACAGCTAGTATTATATTATTTACATTTTATAGTTTTTAAGCGTTTCATAAATTTTCTCGCATGGGGCCCTAGCGCGTTCTATGGCTATGTTTGATTGTCATTAAAGGGTATTAAAGATATTTGATTTCAGTTAAAGCCAGCTTAAACATTATACTGATAGTAAATGGAAATCAGCATGGATTGTTATTTGTGCAGAAAATTACAATTGGTTCACAGTCGAGCAAAAATTTTGTATATCACATCAGACAATCAATTCAATTAAAGCAAAAAAAAAGACTTCAAAATACTATGGCTAAAATTTCTAAATCGTTATTATTATAACCTGGAGATTAACAGATTTTGTTTTTTCAAAACTTTTTGTATGCTCATTTGTAAACAGCTTATGTTCGAGTTGTTGCTCAAATAGAAATGTCAATATTTTTGATAGTCTTCATTTATCACGAAATTGTCTTTAGCCCAAAATAGTAGCAGTTATATCATTTTCATGTTTGATTAATGACAAAATATTTTACGAAAAAAATTTTATAACTCAGATTTTTTGTTTTTTTCCTCGGATATTTTTTTTGATCATCTTTTTTTTCCTTTTAGGGATCGTCCATAAGGGGTTGTCCACAAATTACGTCACGCAATTTTTGACCGTTTTCGACCCCCTTTCCCTCCCTTCGTCACACTTATGAAGCGAGTCGTCACAAAACCACCACCCCCCCTTCCCTTTTATAGCGTGACGTAATTTTGATTTTTTATTTAAATTAAGACTCTGTGAGGGAAAATGTTTAATCTTTTTTGTTTTGTTTATTGAGAAATTTTGTGTTAAGTTATTTGTGGATGATCCCTTATAAACTGCGTCAACAATGTTAGATGTCAAAAAACAAATAATGTTAACAAAACAGTATTTGATATTAGCGTTGATTCGACATTTTTTAGAAATTTTGATGTGATTTTAAAACAAGGCATTTATACTGGGAAGTAAATAAATAAAGAAACAAATGTATCAAACGCGACAAAAAGAAATAGTGTTTCAAAAAAAACAAGCAAGCGAACTAGGACGTGCAAGATAAAAAAAAAAACAAGTTGGCCACAAAATTTTACTTTCCGACTTTAAATATTGCGGTATAATAGGCAAAACATTTAAGCGGATCCAAAGCTCTTTGTTTAACAGAAAGCATTATGTAAGTATAAAAAATTCAGAAGCCTTAGATTTTACGCGAGAAATTCCTCAGGGTTTGATCCTGGCTAATCTATGTCCATTATTATTTTTAATGTTATTAACAATATTCATAAAGTTTCCCAAAAAATATCTGCAATTATGTATGCTGACAACACAAATTTATTTACTATTCACTCTGATGCAAATTGTAATTTATTGCCAGCAGTTGTCTCAAAAATGTTGATATGTCTTTAATTCGATTGGTTGATGAATCACTTTTACTGTTTTTTGCCTTTATAATTCTTTTTATCTGTTTTTGTATAAAATACTGATGTCGTATTTGAGCTGGTTCTTTTATAGATGCTTTTTCACTTGTCAAGATAAAGCCTTGAGCCTAAAGTTATAAGGTTGTATTCTTTTATACAAACGCTCAAAACTACTCTGCTTCATGCCCAAGTTTGCCACTATGCTTTGTTCCATCTCTCTAAGCGTTATCTCGCTGGACTTTTCAATCAGTAAAGTAATGATTCTTTTACTATAATTTTTTGAAATTTTTGTTTTTCTCTTAAACATTTTTACTATGGAATTATTTCTAGTCTTTATATTTTTCTATGTAGAACAACTCTAAATTTTCAAGTCTTCTGACTGTTTTCATGCTTTTGTAAAAACTTCTCTCTTCCAACTAACTCCCCACTTGTTGAAAGCGTTAATAAATTTATTTTCCCATTCTATTACAGCATATTACACATAGTTTTGAATAAATTACTTTAATACCGATTATAGTAGAGGAAACTGGGGCAAAACAGTTATTTGGGAAATTTGGGGTTTTAGTAATCTTATTCAAATATATTATAGGGTTGCACAAAAGATTGCTTTTCTTAGAGAAAAAGGTTATTTTTTCATTCTTAGTGAAATAGGTCATATTTTTATTCTTAGTGAAAAAGGTCATATTTTTATTCTTAGTGAAAAAGGTCAATTTTCATTCTTAGTGAAAAAGGTTGTCGTTTACAAGGTAAAAATCGAAAAAAATCGTAGTAAAAATCTTAAACATTTCTAGAGTTTGAGAAGATTTGAGAAAAAACTTGAGAAACAGAATATTCTATATTCATATTAATATGAAATATTGATATTACTTTGAAATAAAATCTTTGATATAAAATTTTTTAACGCAAAATATCTTTCCTAAATTTATCACTAACTTTAAGTTCGAAATATTTATCTTACTAAACGTTTTTATGATAATTTACGGAACGGAACTGATACTATAAATCCGTGTATTTAAGTATTATTAAAATGAACAATCCGCGATTTTAGCCCGTGTAACAAGAACCCTAAAACTCTTTTATTCTCCCTCCCACATTGTTTACAAACTATATTAGTAAATTAATCACGAATAATTATTTTTGAACGCAATGATAATAAATTTGACCGTAATAAGATCATAAATTTTTATGTCTAATATCTTCTTATATTTAAAGCGTTTCAAAATGTTTATGGATAACTTCATCAGTTATCATAATAATATTGAGGGAGAACAGCATACCGCATTTGATTGATTGACTAAAGGCACAGTTGATTTTGAGCATAAGCTTTGTTCACTTTTACCAGACCTTGTCACGTTGAGGTTCTCAAATTCTTGTTCACGATCCAAGATGGCTATGAAAGCACCCCTTAACAATATTGTAGTCGGATTGAGTCGTTGTACTCGAAATATGTTTGCTGCTGCAACAACACCACAATGTCGAACTTGTGAGTTAAGCGTTGTATGTTTTATTTAGAATCTCTTATATATAATTTAATAACATTTTGTATTACGTTATCAAAATATAAAATGTCACAATTTAACACAAACAGTGCAGTTGTGCAAGTGCACTTCAAAGAATATTCAAATAAACATTTTTATGATTAATAACTATTATTAAAAGTATACAAATAATTATTATAAATACGTATTATTATCATTTATTATTATTATTATTATTACTATTATTATTGCTATTATTGTTGTTGTTATTATTATTATTATTATTATTTTAATATGCATTTTTACATCCTTCATTTTTTCATAACAAATAAAAACTTTTTACAATTGTGGCAGATATTTCAGCTGACATCCCTTTAAAAAAGAAGCAAACAATTTGTTATTTTTTATAAAAAGATCTAAAAAAAAAAATAATTCATTCCAGTTTTTGCAAACACAAAATTTCTGCTCCTCTTCTCTAAATTTTTTGGTAGGAGACAAAAGTGTGGCAAAGGGGATGGCAGCCTAAATTATAAAATTTAAATAGTCCCTGGTTATAGAACTCATAAATTTATGATTAAAAACAATACAAGCTTGTATTTGTATTAGGTATGCGCACTGAAATTTTTAAATTGATCATTTAGTAGAAAGTCATTCAGAAAGGCCTTCAATACAGTATTTTAAAGGTGAAAAAATTATTAAAAACAAACAATTCTAAAAAAAGTTATAACATTTTTAGTATCTTCCCCTCAACCAACATAAAAAAGAAAACACATAGAAATGACATTTTCAACATTTTCACGTGCAATTATTAAAAAAGAGAAACCACAATACATAATTGTTTTACCAGATTACAAGTTGCACTAGTATACATTTTCTCACATAAATGATCATATTTAACCCACCAACCTAATATAAAAAATAAAAATGTTTTGAAACATAGTAATTACTCTATGTCTTGGCTTTTAGTAAATGATTTTAATTTTACGTTCGAAATGGCCTATAAACTTTATATGTAAGCTCTAAAAAAAAAAAAAATATTAATGTATTTGTAATTCATGCAATGAAAAATTATGAAATATAAAATAAATACTTACTAAGACAGTTTGTCTGAATAAATATAATGAATGATTAATAAATCAATGAAATTTTTAATAAAAGTTAATCAGAATAAAAATTTAAACATGTATAACAGGGTTCCCTCACCTCCTTAAAAACTTTAAATATCCTTAAAAAATAAAAACCTCCTTAAATGTCGTTAAATAACCTTAAAAAAAGTTAAAATTTGACTTCTCTCCTTAATTTCTCCTTATTTTTTTTAATCATCTAGAAATTTTTTTTAAAGTGAATGGATTATACTTGTTAATAAAGAAGATAATATATAGATTTTTGATAGTTTTCAAACCTATTTTTGTTATATATATTAATATATATATATTTATATATATATATATATATATATATATATATATATATATATATATATATATATATATATATATATATATATATATATATATATATATATATATAAAGTAATAATAATTTCTCTGTTTATATTTAAAATTTATTGAAAAAATAAGATTGTGTTTTTTAATGTAATCGTTTTTTAAACTTTTTCTTTCAAAAAAATGTTGTTCGCGACCAAATCTCCTTAATTATTAGGAAAATATCTCCTTAAATCTCCTTAAAATCCTTAATTTTAGCCTTAGTTTTAATAGTGGGAACCCTGTATAAGCTTCTGATTCTCCTTTTATAGCACTTAGAGAAATAACAAAACACAAAAGTATTAAATAGATTATATAAATAGGAATAAGAGGAACTCAATAATCAATCAGAGACATTCCAGGTTCATAAATTTACTGTTTGAAGGTGGTGCAGATGGAACTAAAAGTAAAATTTGTTTTAATAAAAAATACAAATTGCAAATGGTAATAAATGCATTCATAGTCTAAAAAGTAATGGTTTTTAAACTTACTTGACATGACAGCTGAAGATGTAACTATATAAAAAATTTTTAAATTAAAAACCAGTTGATAAGAAATGCAATTGCAAAAAAGAATATGCAATAATAAGAAATGCATACACATGTTAAAAGAAAAAAGGTTTTGAAACTTACCAGGCGTAGCACATGTAGAAAGAACTAAAGGTAAAAAATATATTATAAAAATCAATATTGCAATCAATGAGAAATTTGTGCGCATTAAAAAGAGTTGTTTAACTTACCAGGTGTAGCACAAGAGGTAGATACTAAAATTACAAAGTTGTAACAAAAAATTCAATATTGTAAAAAATGAGAAATGCATACACATTAAATGTAATAGTTTTTATTATAAATTACTAGTTGCAGCACATGACTAAGGAACTAAAGTTAAACATATTGTAAAGTTTTCACATTAAAAAGAATGAGTTGTTTAACTTACCAGGTGTAGCACATGAGGTAGATACTAAAATTAAAAAATTAATATTGCAGCAAATAGGAAATCCATACATGACAAGTAATAATTAAATAAGTAAGAAATACATATTTATATTTCTTTAATGGTTAATAAAAGTTATGCTATAATAACTTACCAGCTGTAGTCTGCATATTGGACTAAAAATAATTAAAAAAAAACATTGAAACTGTCAACATTCAATAAAAGTAAAAGTTATTAAATCAGTTCTGCTTTACGTACAACACTTTTACTAACAAAAAAAAGGTATGAAAAAATAATAACATAAATTATATTACTGTATTTTAAAATTATATTACTGTATATTAGAAAAACACTAACAAGATATTTTTATAAGAATAAACTTATTGTAAAAGTATCTTGATATTTTTACAAAAATAAGCTTATTATTATAAAAATATTTTGTCGAAAACATTATTGGCTTTAGCCAATAACATTTTACTTTAAAGTATAATAATGTTGTTTGCATATTTTTATATATATGGTGTATTAACAACATTGGTCTCTGATACTATTAGTTGATAAAATATTCTAAAGTAACGGTTTAATCTTAAATCATAATCTTTTTTAATATATACCATCATTGGCATAAGTTTAAAAAACCTTAATCTTTGTTTACATGCCATGGAAACAAAAATTAAGGTTTTTAAACTTATTATTGTTTTGTTTTTTAAAAAAGTTATTATTATCATGAAAAACATATTAACTTATTTTTTGAAGTCTTCTTTTCCACAACTTTTACCATTTTTATTTGAACTTTAATCTAATATTAAAAATTAAAATAATACAATGTAGTAATAATTTTTTTGTTTACAATCTGCTCCCCCCCCTATCCTCCCCGTATTTCTCATACCGATAAAACAAAAACAAAAAAAAAAAACGAATTTAGGTACCAAAAGTCCTACTCTTTTTAAACTATCTGCTCCCAATTATTTTTTGCTGAAATTTGGTATGTGAAAAGAAAATGCATTTAAAAAATTGCTGAATAACAAAAAAAGCAGACACGACATTCTTTTTACAACAAATTAATGTGAGAACATCAACGAAATTTTCTTAAAAGGTTTCAGCAAAACTAACCATAAAAAAGTTTAGTGATTATACATAAAAGTACTATAAAAATTAAGCCTAACCTTTCTTCTTTCCAATTATTATTTTTGTTTATATATGTTTTTAAAAAGAAACACCACAAAAAACATTTGTCTAACCCTGCCTAAAAAAAGCAGTATATTTAATAAAGCACCTTGTATCATATCTGCTCCTAATTTTTTTTTGTTGAAATTTGGCACATAAATAGAAAATTCTTGTAAAAAATTGCCTGAATAACAAAAAAAGCGGACACAACATGCTTTCGACTACAAATTCATGTGAAAACATCAACCAAATATTCAGGAGCAAAATAATCAGTTAAAAAGTTTAGTAACCATACGTAAAAGTTTTAAAGAAGTAAAGATTTGCTTCTCTTCTTTCCAAAAAGTATCTATGTGTATATATTTTTCTAAAAAGAAACTCCACAAAACTATGTTTACCCCACGCTGCCTAAAAAAAAATGAAAAAATTTTTAAATGGAATTTAAAAAGTGTTTCGCCAAATTTGACTAAAATAAATTTTTTTGTAAAAGCCAGACTTGGACAAATGTATTTAATTTTTTATATATTTTAATTAGTAAACAATCTTAAAAAATTTGTTTATTACAACTTTAATTTTTTAGTTAGGTCCAAAATAATAAGTCTAATAAGGAATATAAATAAAGTATTAAATACAAAATCTCTTAAATTACTAATATCTAATAATAAAGTCTAAAATCTCTCTTACTTTAGTTTATTATATATCTTTTGAAATCTTTATAGACTCCAGCCATGGAAAAATCAAAGTTGAAAATCCAGTTGTGGAATTAGATGGCGATGAAATGACCAGAATTATTTGGCACAGAATTAAAAGCGAAGTATTCAACTTAATTTGATTGACATTGTTTTCAAATATAGTTCTTTTAAACGGTGTTAATTTGAATCATGCAATTACTTTACAAAATTTATTCATTAAAATTCATTCTTAAAACCACCTGACCTTATTGTTAAATGTGTAAAGCATATGAGTATACAAGTTTATGAATTGTATGGTTTTGAAAACACTGTATTAAAATAATTATTATGTTTTAGCTTAATTAATCTTTTTTTAGTTTTATATTATATCCAAAAATAACTATTATCAGCATGTAATTCTTGTGAGTCTTGACTTGTTCTACAAGTTTTTAGTACCACTAAAAAGTAGAAAAAAATCTACAATGCTGTTTAAAACTGATTGAAAGCATATTAAATTATTATAAAGTTATTTTAATAAAGTACTTTTAACACAATAACATTCTTTTTATATTTAGTCATTTTAAATAAGAGAAGTTTTTAATGTTTTTAGTTTTTATAAAAAAGATTTGGATAAGTTAGAGGTTATTTTTTAAAACAGATTGAATAGTAATAATTTGACTTTACTTGTGTTAACTTGCCTGCACAAGTTAAGTCTGCCATACTTAACCAATGACAGGTTTACAAAATTTTGCTTTTGGTTTTTCTGGTACCAAAGGGTTAATGATTTATTGGTTATATTAGCATTACTTTTAATAAATGTTTTGAATTATGACTTGTTTAGAGCTTTCTTTTTATAAACATTAGCTTTTCTTATTTTTAATGTGCTTTAATAAAAACCTTAACTTATTTTAAATTAAAAAAAAATTAACATATTTTTTAATTATGTTTTTTTTTTAATTTTTTTTTTTTCCAATTTGTTTATCATAATTTAACTGTACTAAGGACTAAATTTTCTTATTTCCTTAACTTCCTTATCTTAAATAACCTTGAAATCACTGTAAACATAAATGAACTGTTTTTCCTAATAAAATAAATTAATATTAAATTTTAAAACTTGATAACATAAGAATCGTGCTATAATTAAAAAATATAAGTAAAACAGTATGAGAAAAACAGACTTTTGAAAAGTAAGTTTTATTAACTTTTAAATGAATTAATAACCTTATTATGCTTGTTATGAATGATTTTGATAAAAGATGAATTAAAAAAAATACAAGTTTTCAAAAATAAAATTTGTATAACTTGATAAAATTAATAATTACAATAAATAAATTATGAACTCAAGTTGAAATATTATATATTTGTAAATATTTATTTTGTATGCCTGCATTTTAGGAGATTGCGTTGGCAGTTGTATGTGTTAGTTAAGTAAAAATAGCTTTTGCATAGCCAAATGCTGACCTGGATTTTGCTGGCTGTATATATATTTATATAAACATACACGACTCAGCAGGCATAAATAAGTGCATGAATGGTAAAATGTCTGTCTAAAATGGACTTGACAAGCAGCGCGAGCCGTTCATTCTGATATATAGGCAATCAGCATTTTTGCAGGCTTTTTTTTTATATTTAAATATAAAAAAAGCTCATGGATAAAATAAAATAGTTATAATAATTGATTATGTTCTGGTAATAGTTTTGTTAGTTTTATCATATATCAGAACTTCATCAAAGAAACAATCTGATATTTATTTATTCAAGCATTGAATTGTTTTCTAGGCAAATTGTTAAAAAGTATGTTAAATTTGAACAAACTCTATTTAAAAAATATTTAGATTTTTTTTTTAATGAGTTTTTTTCTAATTTTCGTTTATAAAATGTTCATTTATTACTCTTCTTCCTTGTGAACTTTTCTTTTCTGATTTGAAAAGTTTAAAAATTTTACTAAAAAAAGCTCCAAATGAGATTGCAAGTAATTTAATTACAAAAAGGTTTTGTAATCAAAACATTAATGAATGAGCTTGATTCTTTTAAAATTGTTTGTGTGTTATTAAATTTAAATATAAAAAAACAAATTTTTAAACTGTTTATAAAATAAGATTTTATTTTAGTTATTAATTATGCATGTATCTATTATTTTTGATAATTAGCTCATATTCCCCTTCTTGGACTTGGATTGCAAGTATTATGATCTTGGTTTACCTTATCGTGATCAGACAAATGATAAAGTGACGGTTGAATCTGCAGAAGCCATTTTGAAATACAATGTTGGTATTAAATGTGCCACTATAACTCCAGATGAAGAGCGTGTTAAAGGTTAACATTAATTATTTGGGTTATTTTATTTTTGATGTTTTAATATTCTTATATTTTAGGATATTTTTTATTTAGTGTGTTTTTAAATTTGTTTAGTCAATTGGGAAAGTTCTAACATTAGTTACAAAAAGAGGTAAAAAAGTAAATGAAAAAAAAAATTAGGTGTCTACATAGGTTTTCCAAAAGCATAGTTATGAAAAAAGGAAAATATTGTATTATAATATTATGATATTAGGAATGTTTAATTTATTAAATATTTGAGAAAATTTAAAAAGATTCAAGAAAATGGGAGTTTGATTTTAGAATTTAACTTGAAACAAATGTGGAAAAGTCCAAATGGAACCATACGTAATATTCTTGGTGGAACTGTGTTTCGAGAACCTATCTTATGTAAGAATATTCCAAGACTTGTACCTGGATGGACTGAGCCAATTGTTATTGGACGTCATGCTTTTGGAGATCAGGTTTTTAAATTTGCTTTATTTTAATATTTATTCTTCGTATCTTTGTTGTTTAAGTATCTCCATGGAAGTATATTAAAATCAAAATATACAATAATAGTAATAAATATAATAATAATCATTCCAATGGTTTAACATTTAAATCTAAATAAGATCCTTTTTCTCTCCTGAAAATTATGTTTCTTGTCACTTGGATGATTTTATGTCTAGCGATAATGTATAGAAACTAATTTCCCCTTGCCCACATTATTTTTCTTTCTTGCCTTTTCTCTATTGCATAAACAGTTAGATATGGATTTAATTCTCCATATGTCCCTCAACTTGATGTGTCTTATAGAATAGTGAAATAGAGAAGAGTGATGATTGATGTTTTAATTTTTTGTAAATAGCATTCAGTGGTGTACACTTCATTTTTAGATGTTTGAGTTTTGACACTTACAGGCATTTGTAAATGTCTAATGTCAAATGAGAATGTTTTGCAAAGAGTTGCAGTGATTGGAGCTTGGGGACAAAAAAACGACAATTTTTGGGCCCACCCAGCCCTTAATGCGTGGGCAACAAGTTAAAATAAAACAAGATAAAAAAATTTCTTTAGTATTTTTATCTAAGTTTATATTCATCAACAAATTTCAAATTTCATGCAAATTTGAAATTTGTTGATAAAAATCCAGTGTACACCACTGAGCATTATTGTCATTAGAAAACACTTTTCTAACTAAAAGTTCTCATGGACTGAGCTGAAATTAAAACAGTTAAATTAAAAGTTTTATTTTAAATTTAATAAATTTAAATTTTTTGAATAATACAATTAATAAATAAAATTAAAAAGTTACATTAAATCTAACTAATTCTAAATGACTTTTTTTGAAAAAAAACTTTTTTTTTGTTGTTGTTGTTGTTATTTTTTAAAATAATTTACAAGAGTAGAATAAATACTAAACTTTTTTATGTTTTTCATAATGTGAAACAAGGATTTGTTTGCAAAAAAAATTGGATTGTATTGATTGTTTATATCTTGCTAAATATTATTTTAAAAACACAAATTTTTAAACCCAAAACTGGGTTTATGGATGTTTCATCATTAAATATATTATCAAAAAATACAAAGCACTTCACAAAAATTTTCTCACCCTTAAATCTTTTTGAAAAGAAAAAAAAAATGCGTAGTTTCATTTATATTTCACTTTTTAGAAATATAAAGTTGAAATTTTGTTAAAAGTTTGTGAAAGAGTTTAAAATTAAAAAAAAAGAATCAAGTCAATGTTATCAACATAATTATTATAACTTCAATTTTCTACAATAGTTTGTTATTTTAAATTTTAGTATAAAGCTGAAGATCGTGTTGTAAAAGGTCCTGGCAAATTTGAAATTTCTTTTACTCCTGCAAATGGGGATAAAAAAATTACAGTTGATGTTTTTAATTTTAAAGGTTAGCTATTCTATTTTTTTATTATTAAAATATTATTTAAAAATAAAGTTTTTTTAAATCATTTTAGGGTCATATTATTTTTTATTAGATTTTTTTGCATCACAGGGCTTCAATTAGCGCAAAAAATCTAATTGCAAAAAAATTTTTTTTTTGCGATTAAAATTTTTGCGTTTAACTTTTAGTAATAATCCTTGCAATGCCATTAGATATTACGAATGCTGCTGCAATTAAATTTATAATTATTGAGCGTAAAAAATTATTTTAAATTTTTCTAATTTTTTTTAATTTCAAATTTCATTTAGCAAAATTATTTGAACAAAAGGGATTGTTCATAAATTATACAACGCTAAATTTCTCTAATAAACAAAACAATAAAGATAAAAAGTTTTCCATTACAGAGAATTTGAATAAAAAATTAAAGTAACCAATTAAGTTTAATGAAAATCGCTATGTAAATGAGCTTAAGATCTCCATTTAAAAAAAAATAAATTTAGGGTTGTGCAATTTTTGAACGATCTCTAAGAGAATTTTTGGAGAATAAAATTTGTTTAAATAGATTTCTTTTTTAAAAAAAAAATCATAATAACAACTTGCGTATTTATGGAAAATGTTTAATCTTGATATCACTTTGAATAAAATGAAAATATGAAAAAATGGTTATATATGGGATATAAAAAAATATTTAAAATTTTTTTTTTTATATTCTGTTCTAGATTTTTGTTAAAATAATTTTTAATTAGAAGCTTATATTATGTGTTAACAACATATAAGATATAACTAGAAACATTTATATGGCTAACTTTTGTGAGTCTTTGGGTGTATTATGTAAATTTTGTCTACTATTAAAGTAAATTTAATAGCTAAGTAACATTAAGTACAGAGTAACTGTCAAGTAAATTAACTGTTATTTTATAGGTAAATTTACTGCTATCAGGCTTCTCACAGGAAGGCATGTGAATTCACATCTTTATATGACCATGCAAATTACATTTTGTTATGATGGTTTGACCGCCGCTAATTCAAATAACGTTTTAAAAATGTGCTAAATGAAAGATATTCTAAAAAAGTGAAATGAATTACATCAAAACTTCTAAACAAATGTTTTTATATTAGCGAAACAATTTTAAATAAAGTAACAATTCACTGAAAATGTTTGTTTTTTTTAAATACAATTGACAGTTGTATATATTTTTTTAATTTATAACATAAATTGTTTAAGTGTTCATTTTTAAAATAAATGTTATTAAAAAATAAAAAATTGTTTTGTTTTTATAAATGATGACATTCTACGACTGCGAAAGTCTTTTTCTAACGAATTTAAATATAAGAATAAAGGTAATGCATTTCAAAATATTGCAATTTAATAAGTTTGATCTTAAATGCTTTTATATTATCGAAACGCTTTTTAATGAAATTAAAAAACACTTTTAATTAATTTAAAACAAAAGTATGAATAAATTTTTTTTTTAATATATATAATTATGTATTATTTTTTCATGAAAAATGTTTACTTTTGAAACATATTAAATAAAAAAAAAATATACAAATGTTGAAAACAAAGATTGAAATGGTTTTTTAATGTGTAAATTAAATAGAATAAGCATTTTAGTTTGAGTTTTGTTTTAGTTGCATTTTATATATTTATTTTTTTGTGTTTTTGCTTTTAACTAAGTATTTTTTTAATTTTCTTTTAAGATTTTTTTTCTATTTACAATTTTTTTTGAAAATAAGTTTAGGTAAGTTTTTGTAGCGCATTTTTAAATTTTGAAAATATGTTAAAAGCTGTGGTCAATTCGTTAAAACATTATTTTTGCATGGTCATATAAAGACGTGAAATCGCACGCCTTCCTGTGAAAGCCTGGCAATCTACATTTACCATTCAGTAAATCAAACTAAATATAACTTTAAAATATTACTGGCTTCCACGCAGAGATTTATTAAAGTAGTTTAAATTCAAAAGCGCATTATGTTGAATAAAATCTCTAGAAAAGAACAAAATAAATAATAAACAAAAAAATATAAAATGGCAAAGGTGTGAAAAGCAATCGCGATTTGTGATTGCGATATGCTTAATTCAACCCCTGCTTCATTATGTTGTTGTTTTTGTTTTCAAAGTTTTGTAATAAATTTAAATGTTTATAAGAAACTTAAAACCCAAGTTCTTTTAATAATAATAATAGAAACGTAAATTTGTTTTGATAAGCATTCTTAAATCTTTTCTTGATATACTAAAAAGATACTTTACTGTAGGTAATAAAAATAATTCTCATTAACTTGTATAAATTATATAGTTAATTATTAGTACATTTGTTAAATTTTTATTATCAAGATCTTTAAAAAAAACTGAAAATAATCCTTTTTTTTGAAAAATAATATTTTTTTGGAGAAATATTATTTTTAATTAAAAAGCTAGGGAGGACAAAAAGTAGCTAATTATTGGCATAGTAATAATCGTAATGGTTTATAAAAGAAACAGTCATAATTGTTATAAAAAGGCTAAAATATAAAAAAATATATTAATTTGCTTAACTCTCAACAAAGTTGCTTCATGGTAACTATTTAAGTAACTAGCACTGTACTACCACTGAGGTTTCAACATTGCATAAAAGATTGATTTAACCACTGAACTAACCTATAAATTTAAAAAGAAGATTGCGGTCTATTAATTTCATAACAAACAATTAAATATATGATTTATGTTACTATTGCTGATATTAAAATACAAATAAAAAATATGATTGGCACAGCGATAATTATAAACTGAAAATGAAAAAAAAAATGGTTTTAATATATATGAGGAATTATTTTTTTATCATTTTGTTTAAGGTACTGGAGGAGTCATGATGGGGATGTATAACACAGATGAATCAATTAAAGATTTTGCACACAGTTGCTTTAACTACGCTATTGCTAAAAAGTGGCCACTTTATATGAGCACAAAAAACACAATTTTAAAACAATATGATGGAAGATTTAAAGACATATTTGAGCAAATTTATCAAGAGTATGTTAAAATTTTTATTTTTATTTGATTAATAATTTTAGCATAAAACCTCATATACACCATTACTTGGAACACTTTATTTATTTTATATATATATTTTTAATGTCTTATGTATGTCACTTTCCCCCACACTCCCCTAAAATGGTTTACAGGAGCAATTTGCTGTAACAAGCTTTTGCTGTAAAAAAAGTATAACTTTTTTGTATAAAAAAATAATTTGAATAAAAAAGATGTTTGAATTTTAGATTTTACTTTTTTTGCGTACAAAATGCGATTGTTAATTTTTTTTTGCAAATCAATGATTTTTTTTTTTAAAGTGTTAGAGATTATACCTTACCTATACAAATAGCTAACAACTTTTCAACTTTATAAGTTATTTTATACTGCAACAATTGTTTTGTTTTTAGTAAAGCATTATTTTAGTATTATAAAATTTAATGTAAATATTACATAATTATATTACAAAGATAAAATAGAATTTGTAAACTAAGATGAAAATGCAAATTCCTGCATTCTATTACAATAAGGAAATATAAAATATTTTTTATAAGCAGTAAAAACTTTAATTGCTCTTTGTTAAATTTTTTATCAAATAAGTTGTTAATAAATAGATGGAGTGTAAACTGAAAAAAAATAGTTGTCTGAAAAATTTTTTTGCAGTGCAATCAATTAGGATTGTTATATATATTTGTAACATTAAAGTTACATGCATATGCTTGTCATGAGTATAAAATAAACTTTTGTATTTAATAAGCAATTTTTAATGAGTAAACAAATAGCATGTGCAAAAATTAAAAACTCATATAAAAAGCTGTTTAGAGGTGCAGCTATCATGGCTTGCAATGTTTGTTTTAAGAAAGCTTTTCTCAGCTCTTGCACTTATTTACTCCCGTTAAGGAATTTATATATATTTATTGCTCCTCATTTAAATCGGTGCTCTTTTTTAAATCAGTGCTTATTTAAATCGGTGCTCTTTTTTACATACAGGCCTCGGCGGGATGCAAGAGCTAAAGCTCACGCATCCTGCCGAGGCCTATATATATATATATATATATATATATATATATATATATATATATATATATATATATATATATATATATATATATATATATATATATATATATCTTTTTTTTGTTTGTTTGTATGAAGTACCTACAGAACTCATATTTTATCAACTTAAAAATGTGGTTTTATTGTATCTATGAAATGCTTTAAACTTGATAATACTGTAATAATATACTTATAGTCTGTCAGTATTTATTTTTATGATCTATCTATCTCATTGTACCATCGTATCATTGGTGTATCCTCTCAGAATTTTTTTATTACTTTATTGTTTATGGCTATGTTTATAAGGAATTGTTATTTTTTATACCTTATAAAAATATTGGTTAAAAATGGTTTAAAAAAAAAAAGAATAAGTTATGATTACAACAAAAACAAGTGATGATGGTTTGTTGTATACATGTATAAGTCTATCAACATCTGAAACAATATTTTGAAGCATTTTATCCAACTTTACTATCTATGTCTAATCTCATTTAATGTGGCGACTGAATAGGCGCGAATTTCATAAGTACGAAGGAGTTACAAAAACTAGCACAAGAGTGAACTGGCATAGATGCAAACTGTTATAAGTGGGAAGCAGTTACTAAATCTGGCATAACGACAACAATAGTTTTCATTTACTTGACTTGATTATTTATTTACTAGTCGAGAAGGAAACATTGTAATAGCAGAGCTCATCGAAACGAGTTACCTTTGTATCAAAGTACTACTCATATGCTGAGTAGGCGGAGCTGGGATTTGAACCTGCAATCCTGCTTCTAAGGCCAATAATTATTCTAAACTTATAGCAGCACTTTAACCAACTGAGCTATCCTGGCTCAATCTAAAGAATCATCTACACCATGATAAGATCATCTATACCAAGATATAAGCATAAGTGTAATAGCATATAGCATTATCAGTAATAGCATAAGTGTGAATCGGCATTAATGCAAGCTGGCATAAGTGTGCCAAAAGAGTTTGTTAACATTGGCATAAGTGCGAATTGGCATAAGTGCGATATGCAAATTTGTGCTTATGTTAAAATTTTATTTGGCGCAGTTATGCCAATTCGCACTTATGAATATAATTTGCAGTTCGCTATTGTGCCAGTTTTAGTAACTACTTCGCACTTATGATAATGTTTACAAATTTATTTGGCGCACTTATACCAGCATTTCATACTGTATTCATCATTAGACAAAGCATTTCATATTGTATTTTACTAATATTTTCTGATGAACTTTTTTTATTTAATAATTACGCCCAATATTATGATAAACATAATATAAAAAGTTTTTTAAATTAATTTAATTAACATATATTTCATTGCATTTACACGTATACTAGCGAATATAAAAACAATACTACAATTAATTATATTTAGTCATATGGGTAAAACAAAATCTTAAATTTTTATCTATAGAGACCCGGTTTATGGTGTGTGTGTATGTATGTATGTATATATATATATATATATATATATATATATATATATATATATATATATATATATATATATATATATATATATATATATATATATATATATATATATATATATATATATGTTTAAATACATTTTAGAAAATTCAAGGCAAAATTTGAAAGTCTTGGCATATGGTATGAACATCGTTTGATTGATGACATGGTTGCTCAGTGCTTGAAATCCTCAGGTGGATTTGTTTGGGGCTGTAAAAATTATGATGGTGATGTTCAATCAGACACCCTTGCTCAAGGTTTTTTGTTTATTTTTGTTAATAATGTCAAATTTTTTGATCCACAGTCTTTTTATTAGAGTTGCAAGGAGAAAAAATCCTAATTTTATGTTTTTCTGTTTTTACAAAAAAATCAAAGATAACATGTTGTAATCAAAATAATTTTTACAGATATTATGTATGACCTTAAATTGTAAGAGGTTGGCATCAGGTCTGCAAAAAATTGACACAAAAGGGTTACCATAAAAGATAGAAAGTCGGCATTTTTTTTTTTGTCAACCTTGTTTCTATGTTTCAGTTTTTTCCTTAAGTAATTTTTGTGGAAATAATGCCAAATATAAGCCTTTTTTCACACAAAAATATATATGCTTTAAAAAATGGCCCTTGAATTCGGCGCCTAAATACAATCAACGCTGTTAAAAAGGGTCATAGTCCCTGATATATATTATATATTAAACATAGTTTGCAATATGCTTTAAGCATTTGTAAAAATTTATTAATAAAAATTTATTAATAAACCATATTTAATTTAATTTTTTAGTCTACTGATGTTTTTATATTTTATTAGTTTAGTTTAAAGTTCAAAACATTTAAATGTTAAAGTTAAAAATATTTAGATGTTGATATTGCTTAAGTAAATAATTTAAAAACAGGTTTATAATTAGAACTCACTTGAACTTTTTTGTTGTTGACTTTCAGATATTGTTTAAAAAAAATACAAAGTAAACAATAAAAAAATGTTAAATATTGAAAAAAGATAAATAATAAAAGACTCTTGGCAATATTTTTGTTGCTTTTTTTAATACATTTCATTCATATTTTTCATACTCCTTTTCATTTTTAATTATTGTTTACTATTGTTTATTTACATTTACTAAATTACTTTAGGGTTTGGTTCATTGGGTTTAATGACCAGTGTTCTTTTATGTCCTGACGGAAAAACAATTGAGGCTGAAGCTGCTCATGGTACAGTGACCCGGCACTATCGTGATTACCAAAAAGGAAAACCTACTAGCACTAATCCTATAGCTAGTATCTATGCTTGGACTCAAGGATTGTCCCATAGAGCAAAATTAGATGGCAATCAAGAATTAGAAAAGTTAGTACTTTTTAATTGCAATTTTTTTATAATATTTTTTAACAAGAACGAAATTATCTTTTATTTGAATAAGTTTCCTTTTCTGAGAAAACTTGTTCAAATTAAAAATTATACTTTAAATATATAATTTTATAAATATTCAAATAATGAAATATATTAAAATTTTTAAAAAATCTTATAAAATACCGAAGAAAAAAGGATTAAAAAGTTAAGTTGATTGAATAGATGCCACGGCAAACTTTATTTTTTTCAAATTTGTTTAAAGGTTTAGCAAAGCTTTGGAAAAAGCTTGTGTAGATTGTGTTGAAGATGGATTGATGACAAAAGATTTGGCTGGCTGCATATATGGAATCAAGAAGTAATATTTTTAATTGTTAATTTTTATTTTTATTTTCACAAAACTGTGGTCACAGTGTGCCAAGCAAAACCATAAAATGTCAGGTAGCCGTATCGTGTCTTATTTTTTTAATGTAATTTTTAAGGTTTTTATTAAATAATTTTAAATAAAATAAACTAGAAATATTTTGTTTAAAACATAACACTATTTGTCAATCAGTAATGTAGATGATCATTATGATTTATCTTTATTTCTATAAATTTCTAATAACTGCTATTTTTCTATGTAGCGTTAAAAGAGAACACTATCTACTAACTGACGAATATCTTGATGCCGTTAGACAAAAACTCCTACAAATTTGGACTCCTCCAAAAGCCTAATAGTGTCCTCTCAAACTCGAATTGATATAGTCTAATTCAAAATACTTCTAAGCCAAATGTGTGTACTAAGTATGATTGTAATAGGTGGAATCAAATATTTTTGTAAATTTAGGCAATTTAGAAAAGTTTATTTAAATTTATGTTTTAGAAAAATTTTACACTTTTAAATACTACTGTGTTATTTATGATGTCTATTAATTTTTTATTTGTCTTCTTCGTTTTTACGTTGCACAAAGTAACCTTATAAACATTATTGTAACTCTTTAGTAACAAGTCGTCACAAAACCACTAACCCTTTACACCTTAGCGGAAATAATTTATTTCAAAAGAATGTCGATCAGAAACGGTTTACAGTTTTGCAACCACGATACTTAGAACAACTATTATCTAAATTTTAAAAATATCCTTTCGACGTCTTTCAAAAAAAAATAAAAGTAGGTTAAATAGGCAGTTCATAAATTCATAACAGTTCCAATGGGCAGTTCATAAATAGGTAACTTCTATAGATGGTGCGAACTTTAAATTTTTAATATTGATCCTGGTATCATGTAAGAATGTTTTACAAAAAATTACAATGGTAGAAGCCTAGGAATTATATACACCTGAAAAATTGGAACCCACTGTCTCTAATGAAAGAAGAAATAAATTTTTTTTTTTTTTGCAGTAATCTGAAAAAAATTTCTTTAAAAAATGGCAACCAAGGAAAGTTGTCAACCCCTCAAATAGAGGGGTTTGACAACTCTACGAGGTCTTAAGAGTCATTTTTTGTAAGAATCAGGCAGTCAATGGAAGTGACCTATTCCAAATTGCTTGAATTTTTTATATATTGATCAGAATATAGAGAAAACCTGTTGGGGAAAAAAAAAATTTTCAAAAATGTTTCTTTCACTCGGAATCTGGGCTTAAATTTTTGAGATTTTTTTAAAAATTTTTAGAAATTTAGTTTTTGCCACCTTTGAACCCATTTTTTTTGACAAGGCAAAAAATTGCTCTTAGCTTTTGTAGTTAATATCAGACGTAACCCAAAAGCTCTCTCCACAAAATATAAAAAAGTTGCGTGACACTGTGCGGTTGGCTAATTATCGTAGTTCAAAAGTACAAAATCAATCAGTTTTGTCAATTTTTAATCGGAGTTAATTCTAGCGGCGAAGTGTTGCATACAATTTTTCTTAGGATTTGAAATTATCAAAGGTATTGAGTCTAAAAATGCAAAGAAAGTTATGTGATACCTAAGGCCTATTAATATATTGAGGCTTGAAATTGGAAAAAAATGTTATAGTATACTTACAAAATGAGCTATTACGGCAGAGGCGCTAAGTTTTGTAAAAATATAATCATGTTAAATGGTCAATATAAGATGACCCTAACAAAGTTTAAAAAAAAACTCATGTGATCTTTAGATATTAAGTTAAAAATAAAGGTACAAATTGTTAAAAATGATTAAGTACGAAGAGATATTTTTTTGGACACACAGATGAGGTTTTCGCTCACAATAAAATTTCTATCATCAAAAATTAGCAATTAGCATTACACAAAACATTGCACGTAATGTTAAGAAAAAATTTAAGCGTTTCTGACTATGATATAGAAATCATAACAATTGAAATAAATAATAATAAAAAACAATACATGATCAGAAGTGAATTATTTAAATTTACGTCATAACCAAATAACTTGTGGTGATCGAATGGAAGAAGAATCGCTGATATCACGATTGTGGAGAAACAAGTTAGTGGGCGGTTGTTTACTTTACCATAAAAATGTCTTAACTTTATTTTAACGATCTTTAAAATTTGCATAAATAGAGTAGATATTTTATCATTGCTATTGAGAAATAGGTACTGCATAAATAGAACTTGTTTTTAGTTGAGTATGGAACAAAACAAATATTTTTATGAAAACTGTTGTTGCTTTTCAAAAGGAAATTGTGGATCATTCAAAAAACATAAAATTATAAACAAAATGTTCTACATTCATCAGCTGGGAGATGTTGATGTTAAGAAACACCTCATCAACTTAAAGGTAATTATGTATTTTAAATTTACGCAGACTGTAATATAATTTTTATAATTCCATACTTTACAACTTCTCTGCAATAAGATTTTGAGACAAAGTTCTTTAAACAAAAAAAAAATAGCTCTTTTAATTAATTCCTTACTCTTTTAATAAATAATCACTAAATTAATCACACTCTTGTAATATTGTATTTTAATAATAACAACAATGTATTTCAAACTTGTAAACATTTTTCGTGAAGAGTCAGATTATAAACAATGCTTTAAACATAGTCATAAGAAATATATAGTCTGGAAGCAAACAATAGCGCTTTGTTTATGTGTTTGTTCCAGAAATTACTCGTTCTCATTCTTCCGAAGGTGCACAGTAAACAAAAACATCTCATAGCGAAAGTATCGATCTCCTTTTTTTCTTGTTACTTTTACATTAAATTTAAACAACTGTAATTTATTTTAATGAATTGATTACAATTTTCTTTATTATTATTTGTTCTTGCAAGCTTGGCATTGTTAAAAAAAGAAGATTTATTCAAAATTATGCAAAATTACATTGTCCCATGTCAATAAGACGTTGTCTAATATTACTAAAAAAGTCTATGATATAAGTTGTCTTCAGCCTAAAAAATGACTTTAAAATAACTATGAAAATTTAAGACGAAAAAAAAATATATACATACATAAATATATACATATATAAATATATACATACATATATATATATATATATATATATATATATATATATATATATATATATATATATATATATATATATATATATACTATATATATTATATATATGTATATATATATGTATTATATATATATATATGTATATATATATATATATATGTATATATATATGTATATATATATATATATTTATATATGTATATATATATATGTATATTATATATATATATATATACATATATATATATATACATATATATATATATATATATATATATATATATATATATATATATATATATATATATATATATATAATATATATATATATATATATATATATATATATATATATATATATATATATATATGTATATATATATATATATATATATATTGATATATATATATATATATATATACATATATATATATATACATATATATATATATATATATATATATATATATATATATATATATATATATATATATACATATATATATATACATATTATATATATAATATATATATATATATATATATATATATATATATATATATATATATATATATATATATATATATATATATATATATATATATATACATATATATATAAATTAGTATAAATCAAATAAAATTTTATTTTTAATGTTTTCTCAAAAAAGACTCTTGAGAAGGTGATTTCTACTAATTTATTATTGCTCTTTTATATTAGGAAAATTAGGCACTCTACATATACAAATATATATATATATATATATATATATATATATATATATATATATATATATATAATATATATATATATATATATATATATATATATAATATATATATATATATATATATATATATATATATATATATATATATATATATAATATATATATATATATATATATATATATATATATATATATATATATATATATATATATATATATATATATATATATATATATATATTGATGGCATTATGCACAGAAGTGTTAAGTGCTAAACTAAAAATGCAA